GCTCTAAGAAGTTAAGTGGCTTGCCCATGGTCATATACCTAGTAAGTGTCAGAGACAGGATTCAGTTCCAGGTCTCCTCCTGCCACCAAGTCCATCTCTTTTTCCACTATGCTCTGTCGCCTCTACAGTAATCTCAGGATGAAACGATGTCATGATTGCTGATTGTTGCCAAAACGTAATAAATTCCCCAGTTCCAGAAAATGCCATACTAGGTATTCATGAACCCCATACTCCTTTCCCAAACAATGAGATAATTAATTTTAATAACAATAATAATAACAGTAATAAGTCAATAAAGAAGCCAAGAACATACTACAGCAAAGGATGAGCTCCCTGCTCACCCTTAAATATAGTTCCTCCCAAAGAGAGGGGCAAGTTGGACCAGGGATACTTGGGGAAGCTACTTGTATTCTATGCTAAGTAGAGCTGTCCAGTGCTGTCCATGTGCCTTCTCCCCAAAAGTATCTTTTTCTGTTTTCAAATTTCACAGTTACCTAGCATCAAGAGGAAAAACTTGGTTAAAGCCTTAGGCCTAAAATTAGACCCACCAACTCATCATATCTCAAGACAGATTTATGTATGCATGTCCCAGTGTCTCTTCCTAGTCTACAATTCTGTAATCAGGATAGTACTAACCTGGATGCTTGTGCCCCAATATTTTGGCAACCTATTAACAAAGGTGAGAGAATGGATCCTGCAATACTCCAGAAATTATATTACGTTCTGGGTTAGTTTACTATTGGACTGTCCTAAGGACCTGTTGCAATTTTATGAAAGCATTTTTTTTGAGGCAGTAAACGTTTTATGGGATTGAATGGAAGTACGAATAACAAATAATACTTTTCGAGTATACAATACCTTTCACCCAAGAGTCTCAAGGCACTTAACAAAATAGCTATTAACCTCATTTTATAGTTGTAGAAATTGAGGCACCAAGTAATGTTTCAACTTTTCCAAGATCACATGGCAAGTCTATAGCAAATCAAGAACAATCTGATGACCCTTGGTCTCAAAGTTAACTCTCAGAATTTCAAAGGTTCCTTTAAAATTTACATGAAGAAACCTTAAGGTCCTTGGATGCCAGTGCTTTACAAAAATCAAAGGGGTATCCACAGAACATAGTCAGATTCCAAAGATCTTTTTTGTGAATGAAGGGAGAGGAAGGCGGGAGAGGTGAGACCACCCACCATGGATGGAAGCCACTGTTTAAGGCACCTGAACTTTTGAACAAACTAATTTTGGAAACATTCATTTTTAAATATCAAATGTCACAGAAAACTTGAAAAGTAAAGCCTATCTAATTAATGATTTAGAAATTAGGGAAATTTCAGCTTTAGAATTTATTACTGGCAAGCCCTTTAAAGCAATAGAGCAGCCAACTCAACTAAAATAATATACATGGAATGACACAAAAGAAAACATTATTTTACTAAGCCAAGTAGGGATAACATTAAGGAATCTTTTTAAAAATCTTTTTGAGTAGTCATTGTAGAAATAATACGTGTACATATTTTAATAAGATTTTTAGTATCAAAGCACACTTTTCAGTGTACTTGGGACAACTGTATTTTTTGCTACCATATTTTTAAAGTATTTTTTCTATGTTCTCTCATTAACAAGTAAGAAGGCAGCTTTTCAAAAAAACAAATTTGAATACAAATATTCAAATATGAAGTTCAACTCTTTAAGAATTTCATTTACAAAATCCTAACCAGCAAGGTAAGAATTCTGTACAAAAGTTTGTTGTGTAATCATATATTAAACATTTATATTATCATCCTTTAATGGTTTCTAACTACATAAATATGTGACTGAAGAATGAATGTAGTTTACTTGACACTTGCACAAAGCTTTACAATTTCTCCCCTAAAATCTTAAAGTACAAAACATTTGTAACAATAAAATATAAAAAGTGTGAACTTCCAATTTGCCAAGTGGACTCAGGTGATCAATTTCTTCAGACCATGGCTACCTATCACCTTAGTAACATAGTTAAATAAAAGATTATAAAATAAATCATTAACTCACATTAAAAAGTATAAAATTCAATTTGAGAAAATGATGCCAATTCATAAGCATTCTTAAGGTTATTTTCTGGAAATTTCCTCACAGAGCATAAATGGTATTTTCAAAAATGTGTAATTTTGATTTATCAAATTAAAATGCACTGTTTAAATTAGGACAACTGTTATTTTAGAAGAAAAAGAATAGTAGTTTTAATTAACTCTACTTCCTTGAACACACACACACAAAAAAGGTTAACTTCACAAAGTTCATACTGGGCCTGTGGCAATCTATTACTTCACTGAAAAATGAATAGTGGGTAACATAGTTCTAAAATAATGTGACATTCTGATAGATATGCCAATACACCTAAGATAACTAAGATAAATATCAAGAATATAATATGTGCTACCTTAAAGCCAAGCTCCCAGTGTTTGTGACTCATAAGTCAGACTTAAGGCTATTCTCTGGTATGAAATATTAGGAATACTGCAAAAACCATAAGAATAAAAAATTCATACTTTTTTCCAGGATTTAATAAACAGCTTTATCTACTTGTTAAATCTGCACCAGAAAGATCTGGTTTATGAATGAAACTCAATCATAAACGTCTCTCTCAAAACCACTAGTAAAAGAATAACAAAAGGGCATGCCCTCCTCCGATCACTTCTCCCTTCCCAATAGCAACACAATTATAGGAATGAAAAAGGAAGTTCTCACTAAAAGTGATCCAATTAGTTCCATGTTTCCAAGGTGCTGATTCAGCTACTTAATAATATCAATTTAAAAAATACCATATTGCCAGAAGATAGGGCTACTTCTCCCAAAAAAAATTTAGATTAGATAAAATCATAAGGTAGTATACAATCAGTGCTATTTCTAAGTACAACCTATATTAGTTTTTCCTTTAAAAGAAATCTCACTTGAGGAATGTGACATATTGAGGAGTAAATTGTATTCTGACTAGCTATAACTAGGAGTTTCTTAACAAGTGGACCTCAATTAAACTACTTTAAGCCTACTATCTCTACAGATACTAGAGATATCTTACAGACATCTGAAACACCTTCTTGGTCAAACAATGACAACACCAATTTTAATTAAAGCACCGAACAACAAACCACAGGGATGGACCTTACTGATATAGGGAAAGTACTTACATAGGTAGGTCTTTTGTGTGGCAATCTTTCAGCAAAATGGGTATAAATAAAAAGCTATGACAAACTTTACAAATTATGTTATGTTCCATGGATTAAGATTAAATGCATACTTGCTATTAGATGAGTAAGGAGAAAAACTAAGGCTAATTAGTCTGGAATACCCTCAAACGCCTATTATAATCACCAGCACAAAATGTCAATACCTTTTCTTTGCGGTTTTTAATTAAGCCTAAGCTAAGTGCGAAGAAAGAAAAAAAGTTTGTTGGGTTTTTTTTTAGTAGCTTTGGAACTACCCCCAGGATTTCACCAATAAAAAAAGATCCCTGTCTGAAGTTTTACAAATCATTGGTTCTTAACCTCTAAATGATTAGACAGGGATACCTTTCAGTTCATTGACACAGAAATTGTTTTGAAGCAGCCACTCATTATTTTCAGAAAATACTATGGGACATGTGAAGTGCCAAATTTTCATGACTGATTTTACTATTACAACACATACAATTACTACATACTAAGGGACTGGCTTTAAGGAAACACATTTTTAATTCATAAAATAACTATTCATATTAGATTAAAAAATACTACCTCTGGGCAAAATCAAAAATAGGAAATATTTCAGGTAAGGTCTTTTGTATGCCTAAGTATTTCCAAAAAATATCAGAATGTTATATACCATTCACAGTATTTTTCTGTCTGACTTTAAAAACCATAAAATAATATTGCATAATTGACAGCCAGAAAGACACTGATAAGACTACTACAAATATTAAAACATTTCTGAAATAAAAACATCATTCTATAAATGTCCTGGATAGTAGTTTCATAATATATTACTTTTACTACCCTAAGACCCACTGAAATGAATAGCATACGCACACCATTGATTTCATTAGGTAGTAATAGTAAAATTTAATTAGGTGTTCTTTGTGTAGTAACAATACTGCACTGAAAAAATATTACGAATACTGAGAATATTGGAAAAATACTTAAAGTACAGTTTAGGATTAGAATGTTGGCCATGAATGATGTGATCCTTATAGACCCATTTTTATTTTCACTTAAAAACTGTAACACAGTTCTGACATCTGAATAGTTTTTAAAGTAGACCTTGAAAAGAGTAAAAGCTTTCAAAGACTTAATTAATGAGTCTTGAAATCAGGGGGTGTGTCATTCTATTTTTCTGTTACCTTTAGAAACCAGGTCCATATAGTCTCCTGAGAAACTCATAACAGTTGATGACAAATACAAAGATTATATTTGGTGAGTTAAGGACACATTACACCTGACTGCAGAAACTACTAATGGACAAGGCTATATACATCTGAAATTCCAATTGAAAAAAAAAATTTTAATCCAAGATTATTTTAATGTACATTTGCATAGTGAAGTAATTTGTCTCCTGTGACATACCTGCTGCTGTAGAGCAAGCAGTCTGCTTTCTATGGCAGCAGGGGCATACAGGGACAGAGGTTAAGCAGCATGTTTGATTTATTCACATAATCACAAAATTACTTTAAAATTCAAAGATACAATGAAGAAGATTAAATAGAAATATGCATCAGCAGAGCACTACCATGTTATGGGTAGAAAAATCTGAACACAGACTTAAAATGCAATTACCAAGATTTAAGCAGTAGAAAAGTCTGTAAAGCATGTCTGCTTAGCATGTCCCAGTCCCCTGAACCAGCATAACACACTTCTCACGAAACTGATAAAAAAAGGTAAATGACTTTACCCTTTTAAATGAGAACAAGAACTTCCTATGACTTACAACTAAAGTCAAATATCTGGATCATTTGCCTTTCCCTACAATAAATACTGCAATGGTTTTCTTACCTGGGGGCAGCTGAAAATTTTGAATATTTGTAGGATTCTGAGGTGGTTGAGGCAGACGGGGTGCTAAAACTGTAGGAGTCAACGTTGCTCGGATACCACCTGTAGTAGCTGTTGGAGTCCTTGGCAGACTTTGTGCCACTGTATTGGCAGTGCCTTTAGCCATCCCTGTAGGGGTCCCAGGAGCTGGAGGAGGAGGTGGTATCCCACTAGGATTGGGGATACCACCTTGCATAGTTTGCCCAATGATCATGTTACCCCCTGTGGTGGACTGGCCACTGGTTGTCAATGTTTGCTGTTGAGGCACTGCCTGCACTATAGTTTTAGGGGACTCTGATTTGATGACCTGTGTGGTGGCTGTAGCTGGCATGTTGGAGCCAGTTTGGCTGTTTACAAGGGATGCCTGAAGGGAAACTCCAGAACCCACAGTAGCTACAGAACCAGCAGCAGTAGCAGGCAAACTCCCCACACTGATAGTTGAATTGATCACAGTATTGCTCCCATTCTGGGTAGCTGCAGCAACAGAAGCTGCAGCAGGTCCTGCTGTGTGAATTGGTGGCCTCACTAGTGCCACAGTAGGTCCGGCACTTCCAATGCTGGAGGAGGAGATAACGGTGGGTGAGGAAGAGGAGGACACAGCAGTGCTGAGGAAAGAAGAAGTCTGGATGACAGTGTTAGAAGAAGCTGAAGGCAAAACAGCATTGACAGCATTTCCCTTCCCCAGCGGCAACACCACAGATCCTGGTCCGTTGTTAACTAGGGTGACAGCAGGTGCAGCAGCAGCAGCCGGAGTCCCAGCAAAAGCAACAGCACTTCCTGAATGGTGAGAGTTCATCACGACGTTACTCCCATTCAAAGTTTGCACCGCGGTGGTGGTACCGATTTTGCCGTTTCTGGAGGACAAGGCGGTTGCCATGGTGCTGCTGATGACCACCGATTTGCCCTGACTGATGGCAGCAGCCCCTGGAGCAGCAGCAGCAGCAGCAGCAGCAGCTTCGGATCCTGCTGTGGTGCTGCTAGTGCTGGTGCTGCTGCTGCTGGTGGAGGTGGATGAGGAGGTTCCATCCAGCAGAGCTGAACCCTGGGACCTGGTCGTGTTGTGATTAATAACACCCCCTTGCACTCCTCCGGCCCCTGCAACAACAACAAGAAGGAAGAGAGAATAAAATTTAAAAAAAAGAAGAAGGGGGAGGGGAAGGGGGAGGAGGAGGTCTGGGGGCATTACTTCAGCCAAGACGTGTTAAGATATTAACAGGAGACAGAAATTGGGGAGTGGGAAAAATCGAGGGAGCAAAACATCAGTTCTGGAGGGGTCCCCCTTCAGAACTGAGCGCTCTCTCTGTCCCCCGTTACTGACACCCCCCACACCTGAGATGTCAGACCCTTGTACTCGGGATGTCAGCTCCTCCAGACCCCATCCCTGTCCGCCCCCTGGGATGGCTGGACCACCCTGGGGAAGGGGGATCCCCTTTTCCTTCCCTCTACCCCACCAGGGTCCCCTCGCTGTAGCCAGGGAGGGGTCTTGGACCCCCATCCCTTGCCCCTCTGCTTCCCTCTCCCCCGTGCACCCGCCCACGGAGGGTCTGGGGCTCCCCGGGGCCCGGGTAGCCCCCTCACGCCGGGTGCCCCCGGGAGGGTGTCAGGCCCCCCTCTGGGGAGGGGGGTCGGCAGGGCTGAGGGGGATCGGCCCTGGCTCCCCTCTCTCGTTCCCTCTCGGCTCCCTCTTCCCCGGCTGGGACCCGCCACCCCCGCCGCCCCCCGCCCCCGCTGCTCTACCTGCTTTTGTGATCTCCTGGGCCAGTCCCATTTTGCTGCTCTCCGTCTGGACATTAGCACCGGCGGCGGCGGCGGCGGCGGCGGCGGCGGCTCCTACTACTCCGGCTCCTCCAGGGCTGCCGCTCACAACATGGTTCCCCAGCCCCCCGGCGCCTCCGGCCCGGATCTCGGGCGTCCTGTGAGGGTGATGGTGGTGATGGGCCGTGCTGGCCGCCAGCTGGGGACTCCAGAGAGCCCACCATGTCGCTCACCACTTTCTCGTCCACCTCGCTGTTGAAGAAAACCTCATCCAGCAGATCCGAACCCGCCGCCATCTTTTTTTACTCCGCCGCTTTGGCTAATAGCGACTGGGTGAGGAGGAGGGCTGTGTGGGGAAGGGAGGGGGGGGAGGGGGAGGGGAGCCGGGGACGGGGAGGGGAGGAGGGCCGCCGGAGAGGAGGGAGGCGGGGAGGTTCCTCCGCGGCCGCCGCGCAAGCGCGCCACGGCGGCGCGTCACCGCGGCCCCGGGATTCCAGCCCGTCCTGATTGGCTGCCCGGCGCGCTTAAAAGCGACGGCAAATGGCTGCGAGCGTTATTGAAGAGTGGAGAGGGGAAGCAGACGGGAGACCGAAGGGCGGGGGGAGGGGAAAGAGTGTGAAGGGTGGGTGGGGAGGGAGGCGGCGACGACCTCGGCTATGGTGGTGGCTGGGGGGAGGGGCGGATGCGGAGGCTTTGCCGCTGGCGGCGGCGGTTGCTTGATGCCCGGGGAGCGGTGAAGGCAGCCCCGGGGCTTGGCTGCGGAGGGGTCGGAGCGGGAGCGCCGCAGCCGGGCCGAGCGGGGGAGGGAGAAGAGATGGGGCGGGGGTGGAGGAGTTGGTGTGGGGCGGCGGCGGCGGTTCGCTCTTTGTCTTTGCTTGCTCCAAAATGGCTGCGGGTTGAGTGTGGCTGGAGCGAGCGAGGGGTGAAGGGCGCCACCGCCCCGCACCTGTGCCGTCGCCGCCGCTTGCCAGCTGCGTGTAACTGAGACACCCCCCGCCCAGTCCGAGCTGAAGGAGGAGGGAGGGAAGGAAGGCGGGGGAGCGGAGACGGAGATGGGGGTGGGGGACGAGGAGAACGGCGGTTGAGGCCGCACACCCCGAAGCCAACCGCCATTTCACCCCGCGCGCACGGCGCGGCTTCCCTCGCCTCTTCTCGCCGCCACCCCCAGAGCCCCTGCTTGGGTCGCTGTCGGCTCGCCCTCCTGAATAAACAGGGCTGCGTTGTGGGAAGAGGCGTCTGGGGGAGGAGAGAAGAAAGTGGGGCGGGGGAGGCTGTGGGCTGCGCCTCGGCCTCGTCACTCGTGTCGGAAAAGGAGGTTGTTGTTGGGGTTTGGAGCGGGGAGGGGGGAAGCGCCGCCGCTCGCTCGGGGCCTCGGGGCCGCCGGCGTGGAGGCGAGAAGGGGGTATCTCTCACTCTCCCCTCCACTCACGGGTGTCCTCGCCCCCCTCGGCGCTGCCGACGACTCCCCACCCCCTTCTCGTCACTGACCCCCACGGAGTCTGCAAACCACCCCCCCACCCCACTCCTCCTCGCCCGCCCCCCAAACACACACACACCCCTTTCCCTTCCTCGGAAGGGGAAACACCCTCAAGAGGTGGAGAGATTTGGGGGGAGGCGGGGGGAGTCCTTTTCGGAAGAGTCATCCCGGCTGCACCGCCTCCCGGCTTGTTTGTGTGGGGCTCCCCCGCGCCAGGCTGAGGAGGAGCCTAAGCCTGGAGCAGGTTGAAGGAAGGAGGGAGAGATGGGGTTGGGGGGGCACCCGAGCCATCGCGCCCAGAGCCTTGGCTGCCCTGGGAGGCTTTGCCACGTCGGGGAGAAGACGACCCGGGACAGGCAAGAATGCTTTTCCTCCCCCCTTCCAGAGGAAATAGGGTGGGAGCGAGGTCTTCCTGCCCCCACCACACCCCGGGAGAGATGCTGTTCACGGCCAGCCGGGAATCCCAGTCCTATAATTGTCACCAGAGTTGCGCATCCTTGGGGGGGGAAGGATGCGGAATGAGGCTTTGAAAAGGCAATGTGATTGCTCCCACGGCTGCAAAGGGAAATGAATGTTCCTGACCGCGGAGCAGGCCAAACTTGAACTATATTCGGGTTAACTTGATCGGAAGTGACATCTGAAAGAATCATAAGGCTTGACTACTCGATCACCAGGGGGTTACTGTAGGTTGGTTTTAAATCATTTTTTACTTATCTCGGCACGCATGAAAACTGTAAACACAGCTTTATGAGCGTTGTCCCGCATGTATGTCTCCTGTGCGTACCCATGGCGGAAGGGATAATTCAGATTAATTTCCTCACTTTAAAAACGCAGGTAATTACTAAGTAGAGTAACCAGCCTATCACTTATATTATGTCACTTATTTACATACCAATTCACCCATATATGTATTAATGGAAACACATAATGGATAAAGAAAACCTTTTTAACCTTGGCTTGTCATCTCCCTCCACCACAGACCTATGAACAAGCTGCTAAATAGAACGAGTTGTACTTTATTCCCTTACCTCTTGGTGGAGATGCGACTAGCAACCGGAAATGCAGAAGATGGAAAAGTCATCTATAAAGTGAATAACATAACCTTAAATAATCACCTTGATTACTCGTCTAAAAAAAAAAAGTTGGGATTATAACGAACTCCAAAAGTATGAGATCTTCAGTTGTATGTGTTAGAAGAATGACAAAGTAGCTTAGAGGGAAACAATGGTAATTACATGGTAGCTTCTAGTTTTATTAGACTACAATAGGAGGAATGTGTACTGCTTCTGGGGCTAAAGAGGGTCTGTGGAGAGGCAAGCTGTGTGGGTGGTAGTTTCTTTTTGTCTAAATATGGAAGGTCAAATAGTTGCTACAGCTTCCTGTTGAGGAACCTTAGTTTTTAAATGAATGGTGATAGTTTTAAAAAGTTTGCTGTACATTTGTTGTTCCTTGCTCAGTGTTACAGTATTATCGTTTCTCAACTGGAATTGTAAATCAGTTTTTTAATACTTTGTTGGGGGTGGAGAAGAGTTGATAAAAATATTTCCTTTGTTTAAAATGTGGTAGTGCCCCCCAAAAAAATATTCTAGAGTGGTTATTTCATTGCAGAAGCTGTTGTGTGGAATAAAAAATTGTCAATCATTAGTAACTGTCTCATTTTGCTACCTTGCATGCAAGTATGATGATACGTAATTCTGTTCTACATGTACACATTTTACTGCATCGTGTTCACTTACAAAAACACCTATTAAAATTTTCAAACATCTCCATCCAAATGTTCATAAGGATTCTAGATAAATTTCCTACCATCTTACCATTGTTCTGATTATTTGTCTCAACCACCGAGGTATACACTTATGCATATATTTCTAAAATAAAATGGATTTCTTTAAATCCTCTGAAGACTTGTGCTAGTCTTTCTACCTTTCCCCATGCCCGGAGAATGTCTAGGAGTCCCTTCTTTCGTTGAATTACTTATCTGTCCTTTAAAGTCCAACTAAAATATCACCACCTCCATGCAGGTTTGTAACAACCCTTGTACCCTAGATAACATTTTATTTTGCATTTCACTAATGCACTTGTGTGATATTGTGTATTATGGAGATTTTTGTTTTGTTCTTGTACTCCTACTGAGCTATAAGCTCCATTGCGGCAGAAGCTTCCTATTTAAATTTTATATCCTCCAACGCCTTCCTGGTGCACAGCACTGTGCTTTAATAAATATGGGTAAATTTAATTGAAAGGTTATTGGTGGGAAATGGAAATAAGTTTTTAAAGGCCCTGTATGATCAAGGAGAGTCACTAGCCCAGAGGTTTTGGAGTATTTTTTTTAAATGTACAGAAGGATTTCTCCTGAGCTCTAGAGTGCTAAATTTAAAGCATTTTTAAATGCCTTAACCTTCCAAAACCAGGAATGCTCAGTACTATGATCCTGCCAAGATACAGCCTTGGTATGCATACTAATTGAATCTAATAGTTTTCTTCTGCCTAATAAAATGGGGGCTTGAGTTTGTCTTTACCCTTTGCCTTATTTTTCAGTTAATAAAATTGATCCAAATAACCTTTATATAGCATTTAGTCCTAATTGATAGTGTTGTCAAGCTTTCTTTATTCCAAATGTGGCATCACCAACTATGATAAATGGTACATATTGCACATTTGAATATACTATCAGGCAAGAAGTAAAATCATTCACATATAAGGAAAAAAACACAGGACTCAAGTTTGCACTCACAAAGCAAATTATCCAAATTAACTTTAATATATCCTAAGCACCTTCCGGCTAGACCCCATAAGAGGTGCTCAGGGGGAGGGTGAGAAGGTGACAGTTATTTCTTTGTTTTTACAATAATTGGAGACATGGAATTATTGTAAATGGACTTGGTACTTTTTTTTCCCAATAAACACTAGTATTCTCAACCAAGTTTCTACTGTTTGGAAATTGTCTCAATCTACTTTTCTTTGGCAATGTGATCTGCTCAAATCTAAATCGGCCTCAGTAAGACGAACAAGGAAAAAGAATACAAATCTAAATTTTGTGTGTATATGTGTATGTGTATACACCAAATATAATAGATATGTGATGCAGAAAAATATTTTTTAAAAATAAATTGGTTTGCATAAGAAAGGGGACAGTAATCCACCCAAAATAGTATCTTTTCTGGGTCTTAAATTATATTCCTAAATTTAACAAGGAAAAAAATCAGCTAAAACAACAAGGGAAAATATAAAGGACCTTTATCAACATCCAGGAACAGCTATAAACATTTGACGTCACTAAGCAATTATTGTTGTTCATTTTTGAAGAGGATCAATGACATTACAGGTGATGACTTGTGCATGAATTGGATTTAAATAAGGCAGAGTTGCACAAAGTCATCAGGCTTACCCTTCCTGAGTCATAGAAGTCCAGTGGCAAAACAAGTCAAGATGGCTGGTGATGGTGCAGGATGCAGTAAGCGAGCAACCTTCATGACTATTAGAATAAATTGTTTTCATCCACACATTCCACCAGGGAAAGTCTTCACATGCTTGGAGTAGACATCCCCCTAACTCACCAATGGGTTTAAAGCCTGTCGGTTACCCTCAATCTGGCTTAGCCCATCTGTAGGGATGGGTGTGACTGCTGGGCACACTATGGCTTCTTGTAATCTCAGGAGAGAGTTGGGTAAGTCAGGCGGACACCAAAGGTAGATAAGCAGTCCTGGAAAAGGCTTGGCAAGCCCTCATGCCAGAGGTGCTTGTCCTCCCTGAACATCCCATTAGGTAAGATAGGGAAAGACATAAGAATTTTTTTTTTTAAGAAACGAGGCAGCTATATGTGGGGATTTTCCTGTGGTAAATAAATTCCTTGCGGAGACAAAACTAATAAACCAAATTTGTGATAAATAATGAAATACTACATGAGAATGACTTTACATTGTGAAATAATACATCAAGCTTTCTGTGCCTGCAGTTAGGTCAGCTTCCTAAACAACCAAATATGATGGCATTAGTGCCTTATTCAAGAGACTAGTCAACTTTTTTGGATACTTTTCTACCTAACAGTTAAGCTAGACCTTGCCCTAACATACTTTACAAATAGAAATCAATCATAAACTGCTCGTTTCATAAAAATTGGGATAAAATTTGCCCTTCTGACTTAGAACATATCTCTCATTTTCAGTCTTTCAAATATTACTGACATTGACTTGGCAATCACATCAGTCATATCTTTTAGTAGCTAAGAATATAGTTTATCTGGGCCAAAAAGCAACTAGAGGCACTCTTACTCTCACCTCATGTATCTTAGATAGCACCTTAGAGCTTGGTCAGGCATTGAAGATGCCAAGGTCCTCCACTGCGTCCTGGGCAAGTCATCTTGACTTTTTTCAGCTAGACGTCAATTACTCTGGAAGAGAGAGTGAGGCTGATGACTTTGTACAACTCTGCCTCACCTAAATCCAGTTCATACGTAAGTCAAGATATCACCCCATGTCATTGGTCTTCTTTGAAAATGAAAGATGAACAACAAAAATGGGTATCAACTATTAGCCACTTTTTCTGAATAATATTTTATTTTTCCCAATTACATATAAAAACAATTTTTAACTTTAAAAAAATTTTGAGTTCCAAATTCCCTCCCTCTCACCTCTCCCTGAGACCATAAGCAATTTTATGTAGGTTATATATGTGCAATCATGCAAAACATATTTCCAAATTAATCATGTTATGAAAGAAAACACAGACCCAAAAAAAAAACCATGAAGAAAATACAGTGAAAAATAGTATGCTTTAATCTGCAATCAGATTCCATCAGTTCTTTCTCTGTAGGTGAATTGCATTTTTAATCATGAGTCCTTTGGAATTTTCTTGGATCAAGATATTCCTGAGAATAATATTAGCCATTTTTTGTTCCATTCTTTCCAGTTCAATGTCTTTCTCCTTGACAGAGAAAACAGAAACAAAATGAAAATTGAAAGATTCTGCCTTCTTTCTGTTGCAGGTATCATCAAACCATTTACTGAAAGCAGTCTTTTCCTGTCTTTGATAATTAATTTTTTCTCTTAACATAGCTTTTTTTAAAGATAATTTCTGTTGTCCTTAACTTTTCGAGACAACCTCAATTCATCCTTAGTTTAACCACTCTTGACCCTGTTCTTATAGTATCTTGTCAATTAATCAGTTAATGAATCAATAGACATGTATTAAGTGCTTACTATGTGTCAGGCACTGCTGAACAATGAGGATACAAGGCATAAAGCAAAAATATTCCCTACCTTTAAGGATGATGATGATTCTAATAGGGGAAACAAAATGTATAAATCAGTAAATCCATAATAAGTTCAGACTAGATAAAATTTAACCTTAGAGGAAATAACACTAGCAACTGGGAAAACCAGGAGATATCTTCTGCAAAAGGTGGCTCTTGTGAGGTCTTAACAGAAGCCAGGGATTTGTATTAATCTTCTATAAATGTCTTTTTAAAATAAAAGTTGATTGACAAGTTCCTGATGAATCTACATTGGTTTCTTCAAACAACATCCCTTTTTACCCCTCTTTCAAATTTTGTCTTTGTATCTTTAGAATTTCACTCTTGAGATCTTCCCCTATCTCCTAGATTAACTTTCTCTCTAGAATTTTAGCCCAAAAGATTTTACCTATTCTTCCTCTGAATGCTTTAAAAACTGCTCTTATGAAATCTAAAGTGTATGACAGAACAACTATAGTCTGGCTTTCCTCTCCTCTATCACAGACTCTTTGAAGGGATTGATCTCTTCCTTTAAGGTTCCCATCATTTCCAGTCCAGCAACCAGTCCCTCCCTGTTAAAAAGAATCAAATCTAAATAGAATTTCTCTTGTTGGTTACATAACCTCAGTGGTTCTCAAATATTTTAGTCTTAACACTCTTTAAAAATGATTGTGGGTATCCAAAAGAGTTTTTATATGAGTTATATCTATTGATACTCACCATATTAGAAATGAAAAGACCTTAGGATAACTATGAAAATGGTTTTGACCTTGTGGACCTCCTGACAGCATCTCTGAGACCCCTAGGAGTCCCTAGATTACATTTTGAGAACTGCTTCTCTGCATTTTGAAGGATGAAATTATTAAGGCAAGTCAAGGAATAATTAGTTGTGCTTTTGGCAGAAGAGCCAAAATGTCAGTCATTTTGGCAATGTTGGTCCTACAAGTTAGCAAGACCTGAATTCAAATTTAGCCTCAGACACTTATTAGCTGTGTGACCCTAGGAAAGTCGCTTAACCTCTATTTGCTTTAGTTTCATCAACTGTAAAATAAGGATAATAACAGAACTTACTTCCCAGGATTATTGTGAGGATCAAATGAGATAGCACTCAGAAAAAGCTGCCTAGCACAGTGTCTGGCTTGTAGTAGGTGCTACATAAATGCTTGTTTCCTTTCCTTAACAGATGTCCAGATAATCGAAGTCTCTAATTACTTATTATACTGCTGTGCCAAGTTTATTTTCTAAACTCATATCTTTTCCTTTTTCTGTCTAGATAGTCTATAGGGAAAAAACAGGCCCTGGGAAGTTAATTTTAAAAATGCTGATGAAACACATAAGACAAGTCCAGTTAGTAAGCTGAGAGGCAGTATAATGTGATGTTTAAAGAGCGCGTGGGACAATAAGGGTTCAAATC